GGAGAAGAAGTAAGAGTTGGTTGTTAGGAAGGCATGCTAATTAAAGCTAATTTCTATCATATAACTAAGAAGTTACTACGATTTATGGGAAAGACAGTTGGGCTAGAGTGAGAATTATAGTCCTGTCTCTACCACTTTCCAGATGTGTAAGCTGTTTCAGATCTCTGAACCTTTGTTTCTTCATTTGTCAAATGAAAGGAGTAAGTCTTCCAAAATTCTGTGTATCTATATGGGTTCATGCTCCTTTTAAAAATAAAGCTAAATGCTGTTGAACAAATAGAGAACTTGCGAAGAGCTTACTGGTTTGCTTGGGTTTGACTGTCAAGCTCTAGAAATCAGGCAAGAGACTAATGTGTGCTGCTGGGAGTTAGATGCAGTCAGGGGGTTAGATGCAGAGACTTCAGCCTGGGCTTTAAAGGATGGGCAGGCTTGGAGGAGTAAAGGAGATGGCCTGAGCAAAGATACGTGAGGAAAGTAGTCTGGTGACTACTACAGAGCTACTGAGAAGACTAATAGGAATTGAGTGTATTAGTGAGTGAAATAATAGTGAAAATAAGTAATGACTGGATTATGGAGAACCTTAAGTCAGATAAAGATGTCTGCACCTGTTATAAGAGGGAGTCAAGATAGGTTCTTTATTATTTTTTTTAATTCAATTAGCCAATATATAGTACATCATTAGTTTCAGATGTAGTGTTCAGTAATTCATCAGCTGCATGTAACACCCAGTGCTCATTTAGATCAGTTCTTGATCTAAGTTAAGAGAATTGCTTTAGTGTTCCAATATAGGATAGAATGCAGAAGGGCAGGCTAGGTTAAGGGCAGGAATTTAGACAGAAATGATTGGGGCTTATTCTAAGATTGTGACATTGGGATTGGTAATTTCAAGAGACCTCTTTTAATTATGAAAAATTTCAAACACAAGAAAATTTGAAGAGTACCAAAAATACTCATATATGCCTACCACCGAGATTCAACAATCGTTAGTATTTTGCCATATTTTCTTTATTTATATGTGTATGTATGTAGAAATTTTTCTTTTAACTTTTTATTTTGATACAATTTCAGACTTAAAGTTGCAAGAATAGAACAAAGAATCCCATATACTCTTCATCTAGATTCTCCAAATGTTAACCTTTCACTCCATTTGCTGTTACTATTTTACAGAATTTGATTTATCCATTTCCCTCTCCCTCCTCCATGTGCCTTCCTCTCTCTCCCTGAGCCATTGAGAGTAAATTGCAGACCTGATAGCCTTTACTCCTGAATACTTAAGTGTATATTTTCTGTTTCTCTTCAATAGCCACCATAAAACTCTCAGGGTAAGGAAAGTAACAGTAATGTATTACATTTATCACATCCACAGACATCATTCCCATCTTGTCAGTTGTCTCAATAATGTCTTCTATAAAAGAAAAATAATGTCATTATAAAAGAAAATCTTCAGTCGTACAGTGTATTCACTTGTCACGTGTCTTTGGTCTCCTTTAATCTGGAACTGTTTCTCAGTTCTTTGTTTATCATGATGATATTGACATTTTTGAAGAGCACAGTTATTTTGTAAAGTATCCCTCAGTAAGAATATTGGACATCATATCAGGAGGCAACTGATGTTGAATTGTTCTGTCACTGGTAATGTTAAGTCTGTATAAATATCCTATTACTTCTCAAATTTTATCTAGTGTTAGCATCTATTGAGGATTCTTGCTTGAATCAGTTATTGCTATAATAGTTGCCAAATAGTGATTTCCTAATTCTATCATTCCTTCTACATTGGTTAGCTGGCCTTGTACCATTAGGAAGGTTTTCTTGTGCCCTCCCTCCCTCATTCCCTTCCTTCTTTCTTTCCTTCCTTATCTATATCATTGTGAATTCATGGATTTATGTGTTATTCAGTAGATTATAACCTTTCACTATCATTATTTATTTTGATGCCCACATTCTCCCACATTTGGCCCGTGGGAGCCCCTTGTATCTTTTCAACATGAACCATTCTTTTTTTTTTTTTTTTAAAGATTTATTTATTTATTTGACAGAGAGAGACACAGCGAGAGAGGGAACACAAGCAGAGGGAGTGGGAGAGGGAGAAGCAGGCTTCCCGCTGCGCAGGGAGCCTGATGCGGGGCTCGATCCCAGGACCCTGGGATCATGACCTGAGCCGAAGGCAGCCGCTTAACGACTGAGCCACCCAGGTGCCCATGAACCATTCTTTTAACCCTTTGTTACTTTCTGACACAAAAGGTGTTCTACATTCATTTTGTGCTTTCCCACCCTTAGTTAGCACTGAAATCAACAATTTCTCCAAAGAGCTCTAGTTCTTTTTTAGTGGAGAATAGTATTTAGAAACCAAGATCTGAGTATTTGGTATGCTTATTACTTCTAGGCCCACTCAGTAGACATTTAAGAAATAGATGTATCGGGCGCCTGGGTGGCTCAGATGGTTGGGCGTCTACCTTCGGCTCAGGTCATGATCCTGGAGTCCTGGGATCAAGTCCCGCATTGGGCTCCCTGCTCCTTGGGAGCCTGCTTCTCCCTCTGCCTTTCTCTCTCTCAGCCTCTCTCTCTGTCTCTCATGAATAGATAAATAAAAATCTTTAAAAAAAAAAAAAAAAGAAATAGATGTATCATATACTTATGCTCATACATATATGTGTATCTATATACAGAGTCTCACATACCTATATTTATTTCTACATCTGCATTTGTCTCTACATTCAGATCTATTAGGGTTCATACTCTAATCCTACCCTACACCACAGGATTAATTCTGTCTTCCCTATTTCCATATAGTTAATTCTGTTCTCCAACAGTAAGAAACCTCTCTCTTTATCTACAATATATTTATTTATTTGATCACTTTTAGAATACACAAAAAGCAGTTTCAGAGCTACTAACCAGTGCTTCTGTGGAAAAGAAGTCTACACATAGATTTTTTTTTCTTGGTTATCAGATTATTAGCCTGGAACAGTAGTTCTCAACATGGAGCAGTTTTACCCTCAAAAGGGGCATTTGGCAATATATGGAAACATTTTGGTTGTTACAACTCAGAGGGAGTGCTGCTGGCATCTAGTAGGTAGGGACCAGGGAAACTTCTAAACATGCTGTAATCCACAGGACAGCCCCCAGAACAAAGAATTATTCAGCCCCAAATGTCAAAAGTGCCAAGGTTAAAAAAACACAAACATACTACTAAGAAATGATCTATTGAAGGATGTTATGTATGTTTTGTTTTTTTGCTAAACCGCTTGAAAATAAGATGTAGGCATCATGACACTTACTTCCTAAATACTCCTGATAATAAGGACATTGTCCTACATAATGACAAATCCAGAGGTGGGCAGCTAGGACTTTTGCAGACTCCAATGTGTGGTGTTGGAAGAGAGGTTATGTAGTCGCTGTGACAGTTCTCCTGCCACTGGAAAATCTCTCTCTCTCTCTCTTTACATGCCTCTCCCCTTACCAAGAGACCATTTGAAGGAAGAATTGATAAGTTGACTAGAATAAATGAAACCAGGGGCGCCTGGGTGGCTCAGATGGTTAAGCGTCTGCCTTTGGCTCAGGTCATGATCCCAGGGTCCTGGGATCAAGCCCCGCATCGGGCTCCCTGCTCAGCAAGGAGCCTGCTTCTCCCTCTCCCCATGCCTCTCTCCCTGCTCATGCTTTCTCTTCTCTCTCTCTGTATCTCTGTGTCTCAAATGAATAAATAAAATCCTTTAAAAAAATTTTTAAAAAAATAGAATAAATGAAACCAGAGTCAAATTTACTTTTTCCTGCAGGAAAAAGTTGGATATAGTCTGAGTATGGAAATATGTGTATGTAACATCTAAGACCTGCTGTGATCAAATTGTGAAATTTTATTCTTAGCTCTTTCTTTTAAAGATTTTATCTTTTTTTAAGATTTTATTTATTTGAGAGAGAGAAATGGAAAGAGAGCATGAGCGGGAGGAGGGGGAGAGGGAGAGAATCTCAAGCAGACTCCTCACTGAGCCTGGAGCCCGCGACAGGCTCAGTCTCACAACCCTGAGATCATGACCTGAGCCAAAATGAGGAGTTGGATGCTTAACTGATTGTGCCAGTCAGGCACCCTTAAAGATTTTATTTTTAAGTAATCTCTATACCCAGCATGGGGTTTGAATTTACAACCCCAAGATCAAGAGTCACGTGCTCTACTAACTGAACCAGGCGCCCCTCTTAGCTCTTTTGTAATAAAGTTGTTATGCCTGAGCTATTTGTAAACCAAAGTAATAGTCAAATAGAATGCACTAGAAGAATATGGCCTAACTGATGATATATTTATTTCAGGCAGTGTTCAACAGCAGAAGATTTTAATACAGTGAAAGATGAGGAGAATTACAAGAGAGGAAAGAAAGACATTAGGGGAGAGGGCATATTTGAGATGAAATGTTGGATCTAATTTATTTTGATAAAACCATTTAGGTCACATTATTTAATAATTCAGCAAATATTTGTTATGTGTTTAGTGTTGGAGGAATACTGATGACAAAGTTAGCATGGTGGAGATTTCAGCCTGGTTTTTATTTTGTTCTCCACAACGGGGAAATAATGCTAAAATACTTTTTCCTGACGAAAAGTTTGTTTTTGTTTTTCCATTTCCAGTTAAGTTCCAAGTGAATTTTTTCTAACTTGTTATCAAGCAATTTCAAAATTGTTGAAGAAGAATGCCATATGCCCATTTTACTGAATGTCAAGGCTTACATAAGCTCTACATGAGTGAAATGTATAATTAGTATTTATTAATATATATTTAATAATACCATTGCCGTGAATTACTAATATATATTTAGCTGTACTTGTGTTCTTTCTCCAGGGTAAAATGACTAAAATGCTTAGTATAATTTGCTTCTAAATTTTATTTCACTCAGTTTTGCTGTGTTCTTTAACTATGCATGTCTAAACATGAAAGAGATGGCTAATATTTGGTTGCAGAGATTATAGTGTGATACTAACTCTTGCTTTTAAAATAAACGTATTTTTGTCAGATGACTTGCAGGGTGCACAGTCAGAAATTGAGGCAAAACAAGAAATTCAGCATCTTCGCAAGGAATTGATTGAAGCCCAGGAACTAGCTAGAGCAAGTAAACAAAAATGCTTTGAACTTCAAGGTGAGATCAAGATTACATTGATTCTTTAGGGGATGCGGAAACAATGTGACATAACTGAGTCCAGAGGCACGGTATCTTGTTTTAGCTATGTGACAACTTTATTAGCTATGTGATCTTGGGACATTCACTTACCCTCTCTGAACATATGTTTCAGACAATGTAGTGGGGAGAGTTACAGTTGCTCTACTTCCTTCACCTTGTTGATGTGAGTGAAGATCAAGAAGGACCTGTACAAGTGAAAGATCTTAACAGTTAATTACATATTAAGTACAACAAAAGGAAAAAACAATGTATTTCATTTTCTAAGTTTTAGTTACACCCAATGTTGCTCCTCAGTATAAGATGAGGGAAATTTATATGCCCTCTGATTTTATAGTGTATTCTTCAGTAAATGGAAACAACCAGGCAAGGTAAAGGTATAGAATCTTGCAGTTTCCCAACCACTTTCTTTTCTAGTAGTTTACTTATCCATAGTGTCATAGGCTAGTGGAGTTGATGATATTTATTCCCTAGAGCTTACATTTCCATATCATTCACAGTAACTACCTAGTTGCAGTCACTTGGTACCGTACAGTCTTAGAACAAGGAGAAAGTAAATGGCCTATGGAGTCCTCATGTTCTCTAAGATGGACGACCTTCCTGATCAGGAGGAAGATTCACATCCCCAGGAGGAACTGGGAACTTTCTGTTAGTTAGTACTCACTTGGCTATAAACATGAGGGTTTTAAGTCTGTTTTTAAAATTTAAGCTCAAAATGCTGATTAACAACTATCAAGAATGCTCCTCATGTAAAGAATAACATATAATCTTGGTGATATAAGGTCTAGAAAACTCTGCTACTTGATTGAATAGATTTATTACTTACTACTGTTTGGTGCTCCTAAAATCTTTAAACTATTTAACTGCTAATACTGATAATACTTACTGCTTAGCTTTTGTTTCCTTCAATAAGCTTTAGGTGAGAATTTCTTAGAAATTTCCAGCTGCTCAATTCTGAATACTTCCATTAACTCACAAAATTAGATGTACTGTGTTTTATTTTTAGCTCTTTTGGAAGAAGAAAGAAAAGCCTATCGAAATCAAGTTGAGGAATCCAGTAAACAAATACAGGTTCTTCAAGGTATGGAACACCCCAGGGCTATTTGGGATTATTATTGTTTGTAGTGATTCAAAAGGAATGGAAAGTAAGAGTGTAGAGAGTTCCCATTTTTCATGTCTTTGGTTTGTCCCTAGAATCTGAGACTATAACTAGGCTCTTGGTGAGCTTTTTGTTCTGTTTTGTTTTGTTTTGTTTTGTTTTAAACACAATTCCCTAGTACTCTAATAGTGGACACTCGGAGTGGGAAGAGCATGGGTGAAGACATGGGTTTGGTAAGACTGTCACTTTCTGGGTTATGTAGTGAGTTGCTACAGAGGGGGCCTTTGGACAGAATATCAATTTGAGCTACTCTGTGCATCAGCACTTCTAGCTTGGTGACATTATTTCTAATGCTCATAACATACTGCATTGAGGGGCACCTGGGTGGCGCAGTCGGCTAAACGTCCGACTCTTTGTTTCAGCTCAGGTCCTTATCCCAGGGTCATGAGTTCAAGCCCAATGTTGGGCTCTGCGCTTGATGCAGTCTGCTTGAGATTCTTTCTCCCTCCTTCTGCCCCTCCCACTGATGCTCTCTCGAAGTAAATAAATAAAGCTTTAAACAAACAAACAAAAAACATACTTGCATTGCAACAAAAATTATATATCACATGGAATAGAATAATGATCCCTGCAGTGCCTTCATTGGTAGAGGCTGCTCTTCATACCCACCATTTTGTTATCTTTGTGTGAGCTATCACAGGTTCATTGCAGAAAAGACCAGAAAGATCCTTGCCTGCCAAGGGTTTACTTCAAATCATAGTTCTGGTACTGTTAGGCTCGAATTGTGAGAGCCCTAGGGGAGATCTTTCTTTCCCATGCTACTCTAAAATTCCTAAAGCAAAATTAATTTGTCTTCATTGTCAAAGAAGGAACTAATGTTATTTTTAAATTTTAGTTTGAAATGTAGGGTAAGAGGAAATTAAATAGACAATCTCAGTTCAGAAAAAATGGGGAATCATTGTATGAGGCCTATGATATTTGCCCTAAAATATCCCAGAGAAAAAGCAGTCTTTGGGGTTTTCTTTCTTATTTTTGAATGGGACATATGAGTTAGTTATATATTTATTTTTAAGAGAGTGAGAAGGAGGGAGGGAGGGAGGGAGGGAGAGCGAGCCCGGGAGTGGGAGGGAGAGAGAGAACATTAAGCAGGCTCCATGCCCAGCATGAAGACCAACACAGGGCTTGATCTCATGACCCTGGGATCATGAGCTGAGCGAAAACCAAGAGTCAGACGCTTAACCAGCTGAGCCACCCAGGTTCCCCTACGGACGTTTGAGTTATTTAAAAATTTAAATTTTGGGCGCCTGGGTGGCTCAGATGGTTAAAAATTTAAATTTTATTATGGTCAAGTTAGAATTTCTGGGGTATATTATGTCTTTTTGAAGAGAAAATTCTTTAAACTCTTATAATTTAATGCCTTAATCCATTAGTTTATGTAAATCTGATTTCAATCTATATTTGCATTCTGTAGTGCGTATGGGCAATTTTCCCTAAAAGGTTCTGTAACATAGGGCTGCCTTTTGTCTTAAAGCGGTCTTATCTAGGCATCATTGAGTGCCCCCTAGTGCCAGCATGTGTGTTTTATGACTTTATCCACAAGTGTATGGTCCTGTTAATCTCTGGCCATTGTGTCTTCAGATTCTGAACTTGTTAACCTCTCAGTTCTTCCTGCAAACTGAAAAGGCCTCATATTTTTTTTAACACTTATTTATGGGCAGCCTTCCCCTTTCTCAGCCTTAAATTCTCTTAATTATTTTAATTACTCTTCTCTTCTACCTAAGGAACTTTTCCTACCTATAGTTTTCTTGTGTTATAGTAACCAAGGCTATTTTTCTAGTTCTGAACCAAGTATTTAATCAAATTCTTTCCAGCTCAATCCTTGAGGGCACAGGACCAGATCTGTTAAAAATACACCTCCTTTGATTAGGCATTATTCATTAATGTTGTCAATTCATTAATTCAACCAGTAATTCTTGGTTGTTTGCTCTGCTAGTATTGAAGATAGAGTATGCATGAGATGTACAGTCAGTGGAAAAGATAAACCATAGGCAAATATAAAATGTGGTGTCCAATAAAGGGAGAGTAATGGGCTAGAGGACGAGAGGGCTATTTTTAGATAAGACAGCAGAGAAAGCTTCTTTAAGGAACTGACATTTAAACTGCAAATTGAATCAAGAACATCAAAGGTTTTACTAATGCATACCATCTGACCAAGCAATTCTATGTCTAGGAATTCACTCTAAGAAAAAAATCAGGATTACATTATAAGCAGTATTTTTTATAGTAATTAAAAACTGAAGAGCCTAAAATGTCTAAAATAAAAGATTAGTCAAAGAAGTAACAGTGTAATTTTTTTGTTATTAAAAGATAGTCATCACCAGCAGGATAGAGAACATTATATATATTACAATCCCTCTCTGTTTTTGCTTTTACATGTGTATAAAATGCATATAAAAAATCTAGAAGAATAAATTCCAAATGCTAGAAGTAACTTTCTCTGTGAGGGAGAAGTAAAAAGATCACTTTGATTTTTTACTGTTTGTGTTTCTGTGTTTTGACATTTTCTGCATTAAACATGGATTGCTTGTACTGTTTAATCAAAAGCAACAAACAGCTCTGGCAGCTTGGGCTGGGCAGTAACTACAATCCCATTTGGGCAGTTCATTTATTTGTAATTGCTTTGGACAAAGAATGATGGATCAATGTACTTTTGTAGCCCAACTACAGAGGTTACACATCAATATTGAGAATCTCCGGGAGGAGAAGGACAGTGAAATCACAAGCACTCGAGATGAACTGCTTAGTGCCCGAGATGAAATTTTGCTCCTTCATCAAGCAGCAGAAAAGGCTGCTTCTGAGCGGGACACTGACATTGCCTCGTTACAAGAAGAGCTTAAGAAGGTGCGAGCTGAGCTTGAGCGGTGGCGGAAAGCAGCGTCTGAATATGAGAAAGAAATCACGAGTCTGCAAAATAGTTTTCAGCTTCGATGTCAGCAGTGTGAGGATCAGCAGAGAGAGGAAGCAACAAGGCTAGAAAGTGAGTGTGCATATTTTACAGAAAGCTCTTAATTCTTGACAATGATAACTTTATAGCTTGCACAAAATAACGATTTGGGCTGTTTTTCTCTTTGATAACAGTTTGGTTGTATAAAGCAATGTTTTTATATTGGGGCTATAAACATTCTTCAGGTCCACGAGTTCTACAATAAATTGAAATTTTTTACAATTTTATATTTTATTTTAACACTACTGAATTGTTTTATAAAAGTGAAGTGGGAAGAAAATATTACTGAAGTTCAAGGTGATGGAACTTACCTGAGGTATAGAGGCCAAATAAACAGGAACTAAAGAATAGCCATGTAAAATCTACATGTTTTTAAGGGGGGGGCAAGTATGTTTTTCTTTGAAATATTTCCCTTATCCTTTGAATTATTATGGAAGTTATGTTCCTATATTAATGAACATGTTTTGGGACTATTTTAGGTGAACTAGAGAAGTTGAGAAAGGAATGGAATGTATTGGAAACCGAATGCCATTCTCTAAAAAAGGAAAATGTTTTGTTATCATCAGAACTGCAGCGGCAAGAAAAAGAATTGCACAAGTATGCAAGAACTCTTTCAGCTTCAAAATATTTCTTTATCTTAAATTTTCATCTAAATTAAATTTAAATTTGATACTTAAATACCTTTTTGAAGCAAAATGTTCAGCCAGACTTTTTGGCTATTTGACAGGTTAAGCACACTAACAATACTTCAGGTTTGGTTTTTTTTTTTGGACTTCCCCGATCATCCTACATGTCCTTTCCTTTTGGTGTACTCAAGTAATACACATTCGTGGACTACAGCACCCCCACCAAAGCCCTAAACAAACAAACAGCAAAGATCTATACTTAGTGATTGAATTTGTCCTATAAACTAAGTGATAAAAATTTCAAATATAAGTTGTTTTGCTTTGGCATCAGTGATTCCATCTGTTAGGGTAATCAGGAAATGACTATAATAAAGAATTTATACCATTGAAAGATACAAATTCAGCTTTTGAATTTCACAGAGTTATATAAAGAGTAATAATATATAAAATCAAAATTTCCAAAACCAGTTATGTCTTTCTAATATCCAGTACCTTACAAGCAAACCAATGAATGCAATAAATTTATGCCAGCAAACTTAGCCGAGTCCTGTTTTCCCACCAACATTTGTTGTATAGTTTAAAATTGATTTTTTCCTTAAAAATTTGATCCATTCCATATTTTTATTTGAACACTATTTATGTTCTAATTCAGAATATGAAAGTAGTACATGTTTATTATTGAAGCCACTCTTTTTTTTTTCCCCATTACAAAACAATCCACTTTTATTTTGGAAAATATGAAAAATTTTGAAAAGGATAAAAAGCCAATATCACCCATAATCCCAAAGTGTTTTCTATGGCTCTTTCACATCCAAGAAAGTAAAAATAAAAATATTCTTCTCCTTGGATACATATAGAAATGTTTATAGATATGTGTCTATACAGAGCTTAGTATGCACATATATTTCCTTACTTTGTCAGCTGAGAAGGCCTAAAAGTAACAACATTCCAGTAACCAGGAGCACACTTGGCACCCAGAGCTTGGTTTCTTTTTTTTTCTCAGAAATTTTATTGGTTATTTTTCTTTTATTTTTTTATTTGAGAATTATTTTTCCCTTTTTTTTATTATGTTCAGTTAGCCACTGTATAGTACATAATTAGTTTTTAATGTAGTGTTCAACGATTCATTAGTTAAGTATAACACCTGGTGCTCATCACAACACATGCCCTCCTCGGTACCCATCACCCTGTTACGCCCTCCCCCCACCCTCCTCCTCTCTGAAACCCTCAGATTGTTTCCTGGGGTCCCTAGTCTCTCATGGTTCATCTCCCTCTCTGATTTCTCCTCCTTTGGATTTCCCTCCCTTCCCCTATGGTCCTCCGTGCTATTGCTTATGTTCCACATATGAGTGAAACCATATCATAATTGTCTTTCTCTGCTTGACTGACTTTACTTAGCATAATCCCCTCCAGTTCCATCCATGTCAATGCAAATGGTGGGTATTCATCCTTTTGATGGCTGAATAATATTCCATTGTACATATGTACCACATCTTCTTTATCACATTCATCTGTTAAAGGGAATCTCAGCTCCTTCCACAGTTTGGAAATTGTGGAAATCGCTGCTATGAACATTGGGGTGCATGTGACCCTTCTTTTCACTACATCTGTATCTTTGGGGTAAATACCCAGTAGTGTAATTGCTGGGTCATAGGGTAGCTCTATTCTTAACATCTTGAGGAACCTCCATACTGTTTTCCAGAGTGAAGCCACTCTTAATTAATCCATTTCCCTCCCCACAGTACACCAGAAATGGGAGTCTTTACTCTCTTGTTAGCCTGTGTTTATACTCCTAAAGAGCATCAGGGTTAGCAGAAACTCAGTGAAGGTCAAGGTCAGTTCCCATAAAAACAAGCTTTAGGAGGAAACAAAGAAAGGACTAGATCCATCAGAAAATAGTAAGCCTCATTATCTGCTTAAAACAATAAAACTGTAATAGATTATACATTTTTAAAAATCAACTAGTTGAAGGAACAAGGTGTGCTGATTTTTTCTCTGAGATGCCTTCTTATAATACCATGTATTAACAATATTTATTGTGTCCTGTTTTTCCAGTCTTTTCATACATTTATGTGTAGTATTTTTTAAATGTTTAGAGATAATTAGTAACAAAGAGTAAACATATTTGTAACATGTAAAATTCTGTAAAAAGAATTCCAGAACCCGAATAGGACAGAATAAAGGCCCAAACACAACTGTATACACATGTGAGTGTATATGTATGTACCAACTGATTGTGTTGACAGCACATTTGGGCAAATTGTTTGGTTTCAAATGAGTGTAAGATGATGCAGGCATTCAAATTCTTCATATTTGGAATCTTAGGGAAACCATTTAGTTTGATATTCTATTAAGCGAGAAATAGTGATCTTTGATTACTAGTATTGATTATCTTACATTATTCCTGCCTTGGGATTACTGATATTTTAAAGATTTAAACTTGATCCTTCTTTTTTGAAATGTAATTAATTAGAATCTGGCAGTTGTTAAATGCTACATTTTGAATTACTTCAGATTTGTTGAAGTGTTGAAAAGCAGCAAACTCCTTATGAGTTAGAAGCATACAGTTTAAAAATATTAGGTCCCAGAAGGGTGGAATATATTATATCCTTAGTCAAAGTTGTCTGCCTAAACTCACATAAACTATTTAAGACAAATTCTGTTTCCTAAACTTTTCTGGTTTAGTGGCACTCTAACTTTATTTGGCAAGCCTCCTCAGCATTTAAGTAGTATTTAGAAGTTAGTCTTTCTTTACAGAGTCTTCTATGCCATTTTGCATATTGGACTGACATCACACTCCTTAAGAATTTGCCTGGCATACAATCAGAATGGGATTTATACTCCATAGTTCCTTCGCTAACAATATTGAGTCTGAGTCTTATGTTCCATTCTGAGAAGCATAAAACTGTCATCTTGAAAACTTTATTCTCCTTTAGCTATTTCTGTTGTAGATGGGATCCACATTCTTTCAAACAGCTACACTATGTAGGTCTTTTGTTTTTTGTTGTTGGTGATGTAGAAGGAATTGAACAAAGAATTCTATTCCTGCCTATCAAGCTATTTTCCTAGTGTGTAAATTGTATTTTTTTACATCAAGTTATAAAAGTAATTACAGAATTTAAGCCAAAGATCAGCCTCAGAAATTACTGAATTCAATCTTCTGATTTGACAATGGAGGGCACTGAGACTCTCCTTGTGTTATTTGTTTCTGTGTAACATGGTGCCTGGCACAGATCTCAGAGCTCAGGAAATGCTTCCTCAGAGAAGGAAACTGCACCAGTTAAGTGACTCGCTCAATGTCCCACAACTGAATAGCGGCACCACTGGGGTCTAGAACCCTGCCTCCTGGTTCTTTGCCTCATGCTTTTCCCCCAATTTGGTGTGTCTTCATTTGAGTAGGTTTATCTTTACTTGAATAGACAGTGGCTCCTAAGCTTTAAGTTTTTGTCCCCCATCCTATTTGTCAAGTACTTAAACTAAATAAGAAAATAGTTGAAATATGTGCTGATTTCCTGGGGAAGCCCCACTCTGAATCTTTTTATGAAACAATTAATATAATGTGATATAACAAAATATACGTTAGTCACCTACTTCCACTTTTAAGATTTCAGTCTCTGCGCATATTTCAATGTGAAAATAGAACACAGCTTTAAACATGCAATTTTTTAGTATTTTAATGCTTTTTGTTTATTGAACATATCTTATTCTCTTTTATGTATTTTTCCCTCCTCTGTAATTTACTCCATCCCTCCTAGTGAAGTGTATAAGAAATTAGACTTCCTGCTATGTCTAGTTCTACATGAATTGAATAACTGTCAATATTTATGTTGCAGTTCTCAGAAGCAGAGTTTAGAGCTTACCAGTGATCTCAGCATCCTTCAGATGACTAGAAAACAGCTTGAGAATCAAGTGGGATCCTTGAAAGAACAGCATCTTCGGGATTCAGCTGATTTAAAAACTCTTCTCAGTAAGGCTGAAAACCAAGCAAAGGATGTACAGAAAGAGGTAAAGCGAAAAGACATTATGAGCCCAATTATGGTTGGACTTAAAGCCAAAAGCAAATCAGATATTCATGCTAGTTAGAAATAAAGGGAAGCAGAAGTCACATTACCTGTCACAAAGTTGATACTTGGAGCATCTCTGCTTGGTGATTTCTAGCTGTGTATTATGGTCCATATATAGAGAATTCATCAGTAGGGTTTGGTCTCAAAAATATAAATATACAAAATTGCATTAAAATTTTTTCTCTACCAGTTAGTTGACCTATATGAGAAGCCCTTTGTATGCCAGATTACTCAATTCATTGTTTATCTTTCAAAGACAGTATCATATTTAACTTAGAATACTTTTGGAAAGCAAACTGGGGCCACACCATAATGCTGTCTAAAGCCCTCAGTAACACTGGCCTGAAACGTAAAATTTACCTCATAGCCAGCCAGCCAAACACAAGTTCTGTGACCTTTTACTTTCTTCTCCTGCACTCCCACCCCATTTTCTCCTTCTTCTCCCCTTCTTCACAAATATGCATGCTCACTTTTCATGTCATTTTGCTTAAAACCTTGACTTGGGTGGCCTTTAAAAAAAATCATGTTAAAAATGGTGAGGGCTGATTTTGGAGTAGAGACCCCACCCAGCTTCTTTCTGAGCAAAACCTTGAAGTTGATAACGGGCCAAGGAGAGCTGCGTTCAGTCCTGCCGCCTTATCCTACTCCCTGCATTAGTCCTGGCCAGCTCAGGGGACAGGAAGGCTGGTGCATCTTGACCTTCTGGTCGGGGCCCATCCCAGTTGTAGACTCTCTTAAATGAAGGATTCATTATACATAGAAGGAAGTTGAAGACAACTCTTTGTCTTTAATAACAAATTTCCCCAAAATTATTTTTAGAAAATCTGTTCAGTCAATGCAGTTTTTCTTTGCACTTCCCTTTCCTTGTAGTATCCTGAACGTGGACATGACTGTTGTTCTTCTGTCTTCATGTTTGTTCTTAGAGAAAAAGAAAAAAAAAACAACCTGTAACATTTTTTATTTCTGTGTGGCCATATTGATTTTGTAATATGTTCGTTTCTATCTTCTTGCTAAGGATATGCGTTCTGGGAGCAATCTCATTTTATTTAGTTGGAACACAAATTTTGTGCCAAAGTAAATATCCTAGTATTTAATACTGTAAGCACTTTGTGTCCTTCCAGTCCATATGCCATAATTCTTTCAAAATCTGGGAAGAATGCTGTGGTTGGAATATGATTCTGTTGTATGTTACTCTGAATGCATTGGCCGTTTTGTTGCATTATTTGTTTGCCTGTTTTTGGTCACTGAGCAATCAGTGAGAAATGCTTTAACTGCTTCCACAAATGGCAGTGGCATGTTGTCACAGCATCTAAATTGTTGATAGCTTTGGATTGCATTAAATGCAGCACATTTAAAAATATGTGTGAACTTGTCAATATGTTTCTTTTCTACTTTCTTGTTCAGTGTTTTCCATTGTGAAATGATGTGTAGTCATCACACTCCTTTGTAATGTAAAATTGCTTCTTTCTGTTTGTCCTGATGTTAACTATTGGATACTAGTCTGTAACTAAAATGTTCTTTAATGAGGTTCTTATATCTGTGTAATCCACTGCAAATGAATTACTACCTTTTATTAATGCACATATATTCTCTTTCAATATTTCCCCTTTGTTCTCCTTTCTCTCATAGAACTATGCTTAATGTGCACAGTATCATGTATCTTCAGCACTGTAACAGGCTAAAATATTACAAGCTAAGCAAGCCAGATATGATTATTTTTATGAAGAAGAACCAAAGGTGTTGGTAATATTGTGTGGTATTTTCCTCTTAATCAGAACTGAGCTCCTTTCTCACCTTCGAGTTAGAAAGCAAGATGGAGCAAAAATGCTATCCAAGCCAGGTGTGAAACTAAGGCTGCAGAAGGTGACCTTTTGTTCCACAATTAAATTTTATATGTATGGCAACTTGTATTTGAACATTTAACCAAAAAAAAATGCATGAGAAAGTAAATTTTAATCCTCAAGTATTAAGAGAAAAATAATGGTATATCATCTTTATATCTGACTTAAGAAAAGCATCTTTATACTTTAGTAGGTATATCTATAATTTAAGAATTCATAAAACGTTGGTACACAAGTCCACGGTGCAAAGACTGACTCAGGAAAGTTGTCTGGCTTCACCACCTTGCTGTGGGGCCAGACCCCCTCCCACCCTGCTCACAGGCTGAAGGTAAACAGCAGGCTCTTCCTGACTGAGCTGTCTTCCTGTCACTCTGCTTCATAGCCACTGGAACGGAGAAATGATTAAGTGCTTTGGTGTAAAGGGCAGGCTGGATGTAAGAATAGTGGAAAAGGAAAGTAAGGGAGAATTTAGGTCAGCAAAGCAGTTTTCACTTACCCTTTATTAGTCACTGTTAAGAATCAGATCATTGAGAATTGATTATATTCTAAGAGACTAGTCTAGGCACACTGAATTTGTTTTGGCAGCCTGCTGGCAACCTTCTGCCTTCTGGAAGGAAGTCCACAGACCCCAGAAAAAAAGCTGTCATAAAGTCCATGAATCTTATTCCATAGTTCATTGTCTGGCATACTACCCAGACTTGTTCTGGGAACACTGTTAGGTAACAGGGAATTCCTTTCACATTTTACCTCCCTCTAAATACCCGTATCTTTCTTCCCACTTACTGGTGGTCTTTCTGCTGATGCTAATCCCCCTGCCCCCACCTCTTCTGATTAATGTTTTTATACATTTGCATCCTGCTTAATACTTCTCTTTGGAGTACATAATGATGATCTCCTAATTAATCTTTCCAGAGTATTTACATTATTTAGAAGCACCATGTAAAGGTGTCCTCTACTGAGAAATTTCTAGGAGATAGACTGAAAGAGGAAAAACCTTTGTGGTACACTGGTCCCATGGTATATTTATATTATATTCAGTCCTTGTCTTTCTTCCTTCTAAAACCTTCAGAGGTGGCAGAGTGGGGCAGTGGAGGCCGAGACAGAGGCATAACCAACGGCAGAACAGTTTTTGCTCTTTGACTGGGAGCCCAGCTTGCATGTAAGATGCAGTATCTGGAAGTAGAACCAGTCAGAATTCCTGCCCCCTCAGCACTTAAAGTAGAGGCAAGCCATACTATGTCTTGCATTGACCTCACCTATATTCAAAGGAGAGCTTGTCTGTCTGAATGTCAAATTATATTCAATGAACAGTTTTTCAGAGCAGGAAGTTTCATGTTTCACTCTAGAAAAATATTTGTCAGGAACAGATTCGTAAAAATTATTTACTGATGCTTATAAGTTTTAGGTCGAAAAATAGAAATGTCCCAATCATAGTCGTTAGTACCTTAGATATATTTCTTTACATCATTTGCCTAGAAATTCATTTATCCAGAACACTTTACTACCCAGTGATGCCTGGGTGAAGAAAAGCTTGATGGGAGTTAGTTAGTACTTCTTACTTTAGGACTAAAATAGCTTGGCTGACATTGGTTACCAGGATATAAACTCAGACTTCATAACCTTGCCATTTAATTAGCTTACAAAGTTTTTCTGTACTTGCTTTTCTTTTCTCAGTTTGAAAATTATTTTACTTTTCTCCTCTAACTTACTCAATGGAAAGAGTGACCCTTTATATTAGAAACAGATGACACAATGGTGATTTCTCTCTTTTTTTTTTTTTAACTCCAGAGCCAGAAAGTTCTTACATAGAATAAAGTTAACATTAAAGACTTCCTATTGTTAGTACAAATGATTCTTATCCCCCTGAAAACAAAAACGCTTGACTTTGGTGTTGCAGGTGGCTAAATAAGCCTGACTAGAACCATAACTTCATACTCATTTTAAGTTGAGTCTGCACACTCTTTTTTCTTTGCCTTTAGTATGAAAAGACACAGACTGTACTCTCAGAACTGAAGTTGAAGTTTGAAATGACTGAGCAGGAAAAACAATCAATCACAGATGAGCTCAAACAATGTAAAGACAACCTGAAGCTGCTCCGAGAGAAAGGAAATAATGTAAGTCTTTGCAAACTTGGCTTAGCTTTGAATGAGAGGCAGGTGAGAGCCCTGAAATGGATTTTTCAGCAGACTTTATCACTGATTTGAGAAATTAAGGCTTGTAGTACATGAACTAAGCTTTTCATTATGAAATTCCATGATGGAAGTATTGTGCTGTCAAATTTCTGAGTAAGAATTTGCCCCTTTAACTTGTATCCCAAGAGGAGCCTGAGGACTGCCTGGAGGAAGAGCCTTGTTTGCAAGAAAATAATTTACCTAAGAACTGTCAGATTTTCCCAGATGAATCTGAAGTTCTGTCACCAAGCCATCGTCTGGCACTTCATTTCTCCTGCTGAGAAATGAAACATTATACCACCAGGGACCCACCTAAGAAAGAGTAGTACATGTTGACTCCTTAACATTTGGCTGTATCAAAAATGGAAACTTAATTATGGTTTTCATTTTATACTAATAATGTTCTCACTAAGGCATATTCCTAAAAAGCTTAGTGTCTTTTTGACCTCCTATAAATATTAGGGAATATTTGTTGAGTTTCTGTAGGGCTGTGTGTGTGTGTGTGTGTGTGTGTGTGTGTGTGTGTGAGAAACTGGAACATTTTCATATAAATTGAGTTTACTATTAGTTTGTTTTTCATTTATTAGAAAGGCAGATGGTCTTTAAAAAGATGTTATACTAAATAAGTGTTGTGTTCTACGTTTTGGTGATCATTGCCTTTGTGGGCCCTAACTGATGGCTGTTCAGTGTAGTTGGTTGTGCGCTGACTTATTTCAAATCCCTGTCATGGCTTGGACACTGCAGTGGCGTAAGCCATACTCTTCCTACAGAGGAAAGCACTCTGCTTGACTTTGCTGCACAAGTACAAAAGAGTGATGTTGCATGGCCATCCAGTTACACAGTTGCACACAGAATGCTCATGAGTTGTGTCCAACTGTCCTTCACTAAAGAAAGTCTTAGTTTTTTAGAAATGAAGCCTTGTTGCTTAGGTGGAAGCCCTTCAGAAGTTGATAAATTGGGTATGGGGGCTTCATGCTATAAGCAAAATTGATCGTATTTATTTTGAAAATGTAGATTACAGAACTCTTCTGAAATCAGATCATAATGGTTTGGTTACTTCTCTCTTTTGTGTTAATCATATCTTTCTGAGTATGGAATTTCAGTCCACCTTCTACTAAATTAACCTATGAAGACATCTAGCATAATCAGAATGGATCCCTCGGTACTATTTAGAGCCTTTCAAAAGTAACCTAGCTATTATTATTTATAGTTGTACCAATAATTGACCTTAAAGGTGAATTTCCTTTTTCTGTGGTATTAGTCTTAAGGTAACTAAATTTTTCTCTGTAATAAAACTCATTGTAGTAACTCCTTCCAATTTTAAAAAATTAATTATATTCTGGTAACATAACTAAAAGCCCTGAGACTCAGCTGCCTGTCTTTGTATATCAAATGTTTATCACACATTGTGTCAGATCTCTTGCTTGGTTTAGGAAGCATGCATCCCAAGGCATTTTATTTTTAAGCTTGAAAGCAGTACCATCTCAGGCAAGAGAGTTTTGGTTTAAAAAAAGGTTTCAATGGAGGGATAAAATAAACTTTAGCCATTTCCAAGGGACTACATTATCAAGTAATGGATTCCAGCTATGGAACAAAAGTAATGTAAGGTCAAGCAGAGCATCAGTGGTGAAGTGTTGCTATTGCAATGTCTTAAAAGTGCTACATTTCATTAGGGTATTAGGGGCACCCACATTGTCCACTGCCTCCAGCTGTCCCTTTTAAACAGGTAGTTACATACCACAGTCCCATCATTCTGGATTGTATTAGATGTCTTTAAAATGTTTGAATCAGTGCAAAACCTGAGTGCTATTACTTCTATTACCTCAGTCTTCCTACCCTCCTTTCCACCCCCCTGGGGTCTAAATCATCTTATCTGATTTTTTTTATAGCATAAAATGATTTTAATATCCCTTCCCTTCTTTAGCCTTCCATATTACAACCCGTCCCAGCCGTATTCATCGGCCTATTCCTGGCTTTCCTGTTTTGGTGTTTCGGTCCATTGTGGTAGAGAAAGGTACAAGCACTACTGTTGAGTCCTTGTCTGTTTGTCCCCGTCACCTGTTTGTGCCATATTTGTAATATAGTGCATGGCAAAACCACGGAGGTATTTCGTTACCTGAAGCAAACCCTTCATTTAGTATGCCATGTATTGTGTCATACGAATGAATTGAACAATCAACTAATCACATAACATTTTGTCTTGTTTCCTTTGTAGTGCTGCTAATCATGAATTAATTCCAACCTAATCAGTTGTTAATGTGCTGCCTTTAACTGAGTCTTTGTCTCTAGCAAACTGGAGTAAACTAAGAATTGCTGCAATATTAGTACCCCCCTCCCAATTACATGTTTAATCAGATTTGAATGAGAAATGAAGCGTTTGCCTCTTTGAAGTTTTCAGCCAGTTTTCTTCCGCTCCTCCTCTCCCTCTTCTTTTCTATAGTGGAGAGCTGCTTTTTTCAACCCTTCGCCTATATTTACACTGTGGCTATGAAGATGAAGAAGGATGAGATTAGCATAATGGGCCATTGGCTCACAATCTCAACCCCAATGTGCATTTACTTATGAGAGTATAAACCTATCCCATATCTCTCTGAGCCTTGATCTGCAACATCACAATATTTCTTTAAAAACCAGTTTTCTGAATAAGACTCTCAGTATACTAGTGAAAATAAAGCTATCATCCAGAGCACGTTGATTTTATAATGCCCTCTGAAAGTTAACAGCGAATCACTCACCCATGCTTGCCTGCAACAGGCATGCATGTCAGTAGAACATATGAGATAATCACATGACATTACTACATTGGACATGGTCTTTACCAAAAGTATCAAAGAGGCAAGGTCCTAATAGCACTTCTGTATCTTAAACCCCATCTGATCTTGTCTTCTGTGGCTTCACATTAGAGAATCGAAGCTTGGGCCATTTTCTTTGTTACCTTACCCACCAGCTCCTTATGTAAAACTCTACCCCAACATACAAATCTGGTTTTTATCAAGAAATAAACATTTTATGCAGACATGTATTCCAGGCATCCGTGTACATCAGTTAGTTGTAATGTATGGATACGGGAGTAAGTAAAGCAGGCTAAGCCCACAGGGTTTCTTAGAAGTCACTATTAGGTTTCAACTGTAACAAAATTGAAAACTGCCCAAGACTTTCCTGAGCTGTATCAGGCTTCCACACAACCATCCTCGAAAAGTGTTCCTGCTGTCATGGCTCTCCTCACACCTGCACTCCCTCACCTTTCTCTCCTTTCTTTTTAAAATGTATTCTTTTGCAAAGACAAGGTTTTTCTAATATTCTGTTAAGTATTCAGGACTCTCTGGAACCAAGGGGTTAATAGGTATGAAAAGAGAGGGAAGAATGTGATATTGACTCTTGGTTTCTTTCCACACAGAAACCCTGGCCCTGGATGCCCATGTTGGCTGCCCTGGTTGCGGTGACAGCCATCGTGCTGTACGTGCCAGGTCTGGCCAGAGCTTCTCCATGAGAGCGTTTCTTGAGTCCGTACACCGTCCTCCCTTTAGAAGCTGGCATCACACTCATGCTGGGGACAAACAGAACCATTTTCTTCCTTTTTACCTCTTAAGACAGCAGAAGTGCAAGAATACAGCTGTAGGGTCATTGCTTTAAATTATATAAAATGTATCTATCTATAAAGAGGATATAAAATTGTGACTTTATTCTACTGTAAGCAATAATTTGCTTGCAATTTTTCATGTAATTTTTAAATTAGTATGTTGAGATTCTGAATATTATGGTGGCCTAAAGTAGGCTTCTTGGTACACCAAATTATTTATAACATTAAATTTGTGGGTATTTTACTCTGAATTCTAATGGCCAGATAATTCATTTTTCTGATTCGATAACTACCCAAACCAAACAACCAATACATACATGGGAAGAGAGGCCCTGTGTGCTCAGTGCCTATCAGTTTGAAATATATACACATATATATATATTTTTTACATATTTACGCCATTTTTACTTGTTATAAAACCACTGAGCTATTGGGAACAAGACTTAGAGACAACTATTTGCGTGGATTTTTCTTTCTTTCTTTCTTTCTTTCTTTTCTTTCTTTCTTTCTTTCTTTCTTTCTTTCTTTCTTTCTTTTTCTTTTTTTTTTAAGGAGAAATACACTTGGAAAATATTCTGTTCTAGTGATAATTTGGGGAATATGTGCACGCTTGTTCAGCCTTAATGTGACTTGATGATGTGGAGGACATCAACTTTGAAAAACTTTCCATGAGAGTGTGTATTTTCTTGAGCAAACTGAAGTATTTCTGGGAGCAAAAACAGTAATTCTACAATTTCAGTGCAGTAAACCAAACTGTTGAGTCAATTGGAATGTAATTTATTAAACCTCATGTATTTAAAGAGATATTTTCTTTAAAAGCCAAGTTACTTTCTCATATACAGCATTTTAGGAAGCATGATTTTTTTTTTCTATCATCTCTTCCTCCAAGCATGTTTAATTGAAGAAAGAATTAATATCTCTTTAGATAAGCTTTTACTGACTTAATTTGGTTATGATATTTCAAAGCTAATTCATGTTCAAGGTGAGCTGTTGTTACCTACCAACAGATTTCCTGGTCAGGTATGCAAATGGTTATTTTCTTTTTACTGTTGTTAATTGGGACTTTCTGTTTATGAGAAGCATTATTCCCAAGATTAATAGTGTTCCATGCACAGTGAAGCACCTAAGCACTGCTTGATGTTATAAATTTAAAACACAGAAGTGAAAGTTTAGCTATGGTTTTGTGCGGCACCACAGTTATGTCAATAAAATTTATTTAGGTCATAGAATATCCTAAAGTATCACATAGTTAAATTTTTCAGTCAATGAAGACTGGGAGGGAATGTCAGTGAATTGGCTTGAATGTTCTGTGGCGATCCACAGTCCTAGCCAAATGTTGAAATAGAAGTTTAGGATATAATTTGCCTTGTGATGTTTGGCAGTCGTTGTTTATACTTTAAAGGTTATATTTTAAGCTATTTGGGATTTGCTGTTGGGAGGATCACTAGATTCATGGAGGAATTAGTCACAAATGACTTGTAGAAAATGCTGTCATATAGTTCATTTCATCATTTTCTGTTGCAGGAAGCCACTCCACCACAGAATGCTAATATGCCAGTGGTACCCAGTACCTCTTGTATATAGGTTATTGCAAATATTGTTCTGAAATGCTTAACTTCAGAATTACATTTTTTAAAGTAAATAATTGTTTTAAATCTATTTTGTAAAGATATAAAGTACAATAGAATTTCTGGAGTACAGATTAAACTATTTGCACTAACACACGTGATGTGCATGATTTAATAAAATAACTTTACTCTCCCTATGCATTTTTGAGTTGGATATCATTGAAATTCTTAGTGTTGACTCTACTATTAGATTGTTAATAATCTTTTCTTGAAATGACTCTTAATGCAACATAATATATATTTGGTGTTCTTCAGGGTTTACTGAGCTGTTTCCTTCAAGTTTTATTAGCCTTTTATTTAACTTACTGCTCTAATTTTTTTCCCCTTTTATGATGGTTATTGTTAAAACATGACTCACTTGCCAGACAAGTCTCTTTAAATGTAAAGTCTGGTATCAATATTTACTTTATTCAAATTGAATTAATGGGTTTTTGTAGTTACTGCCGTTTTTCTTAAGAATATAAATGAGCCTATTCATAAGCAATACCTCCAGTTTCATTCAGTTCACTTCCAGGTTAAATAAAGAGTACGATTATTCACTGTAGTGATAGTCATTAAGAAATTTTATTTTATTGTATTGTATTTTAGATTACTTATTTATTTGAGAGAGACAGAATGAGAGAGAGAGAGCGCAAGCAGGGGGAAGGAGCAGAGGCAGAGGGAGAAGCAGACTCCCCGCTGAGCAGGGAGAGACCCATGCAGGACTCGATCCCGGGACTCCAGGATCATGACCTGAGCCGAAGGCAGTTGCTTAACCAACTGAGCTACCCAGGCGCCCCCATTAAGAAATTTTAATCATAGTAGTTAAGATTGAACAACCCTATAATGATACATTTAAGAATTACCCAGAGGTGCTACATGGCTGGCTCAGAAAAGGAAAGGAACGTGGCCTGTGAAGCTAAATAGATCCTTACTGGCATCCTGGCTGTGCCTATTAGCAGCTTTTGCCTCAGGCAGATCACTTATCTTCTCTCAGTCTCCGTTTCCTCGTTTATAAAATGGAGAGAGTAATATCTATATGTGTGAGAATTAAAAAGGTAACATATGTGAAGTGTCATTCGAGTGGTAAATAAGTGTTTATGAGAATGTCACACTGGAAAAACTGCAAATATTTAAGTTTTAAGGGAACCAGTACAGCTGTTTAAAATGAATTGGTTGACTCAACTGTTGAGACTTTCTATGTGTGTGAATGAGACGTAACTGCAGTATAATGAATCCTGAGAGAGCATCATCACCTAGCTCTGTTCTTCCCCTTCATGATTGTGTCTTTGGAAAGTAACATGCTTAGTTTGATAATGAGCCAAGGCTTAACAACAGTTTGGCATTCTTGTTGCAACTGCCTTCAGAGTCACTCTGGGTCACATGTGAAAACCAGTCACACTGCTGAATAGTCAGAGGCTTGTGACTAAAAATAGTATTGCCTCGCTTGATCTCTCACTTTAATCACCAGATTCGACCCCCAGTGATTCTTGGCTCCTTCCAGTGATTACATCTACTGTCAAAAGGATGGAAATCTGCTACATACAAACTACATACAAATCAACTTTGGTAAAAATGTACAGCCTTGTTTGAAAAATTCACTTCTGGAAATTTTGAAAGCATAATTGTGTGCACTAAATTTTGACTACCAGGACATTTAATGTAGCTTTTTTTTTTTTTTTTTAATAGTAATGGGTAGATAACCTAAATATCCAGCAGTGGGTCGTTGGTTAAATAAATTAATATTGCTACCCTACAGATTACTGTGCTTGCAAAGTATATGGGAAGATATTCATAAGGTATGTTAAGGTGAAAAGGTTGCCGGTGTAGAATAACCTTGGTTTTAAAGAAAAAATATAGACATATAGGATATGTTTATAGCAGGAGGACTCAGATTTATACCCAGGCTAAATAAGTAGTGCTTCTGTCAGTATGTTTGTGGGTCAGTTATCTTCTCCTTTTATAATTTCTGATTTATTTTTAGTAGTAAATATATGTTGCTTTTGTAAATTTTTTAAAAGTTTTTTGGTTTTGCTTTAAATTAGAAACAAAAAGTATTCTGCAGAATTCCAAATTGGTTTTCATAATCGAATGAGTAAGTAACTTGTCAGTACCTACATTTAAAGGGACCGATGTTCATTTGCACTTAATGAATTCTGGTGTGTACATTTCAAAATCAGACTTATACTTTTAAACATGCTTTGTGCATATGTGTACATAGAATCCTAGAAGAGGCCTTAACTATCCATTCTCACCTTTTTGCCTATCAGGGAAAAAAATCCAGGGAATTTTTGACTCAGAGTAAGAATAATCGTTATAAAATTGGGAATTAAGATGATTACTTCATTTTTTGCTACTCCACATTGTATCCCAGGCTTCGATGGTTTTATATCCATTCATTTAGCAAATACTTACTGAGTGACTGGTACGAGGCACTGTGCTAGGTCCTGACATTACTCCGTCCCTGTGGTCACAGAGCTTTTGGTACAGAGGAGAAATAGAGGCAGGGAAGTTGGCATTTACAATACTGTGTAGTAGAAGAGGACATAGGAGCCAGTGGGACCATAGAAAAGGGATACGTTTCCTCTCACTTTCAGCCACCCAACCACCCAAGCCAGAGACATCTGGCTGTGGAGCCAAAGGTAAGTTTCCCTTCTAGGAGGACAGGGTAACAGAACTGGTTTCTCTCGAAGTACCTGGCTTTGCAAACCATTAAGATCTGAGATTGATTTTCCTAGAAAAGACATTGTGATTGGAAAGCATTTTTTAACGATTTATTTATTTATTCTTAGAGAGAACCTCAAGGACACTGCTGAGCACAGAGCCCAACATGGGGCTCAGTTTCACGACACCAAGATCATGACTTGAGCTGAAGTCAAGAGTCAGACGCCTAACTGACTGAGCCACCCAGGCGCCCCTGGAAAGCATTTTTTTTTTTTTAAGATTTTATTTCAGAGAGAGAGAGAATGAGAGATAGAAAGCACGAGAGGGAAGAGGGTCAGAGGGAGAAGCAGACTCCCTGCTGAGCAGGAAGCCCGATGTGGGACTCGATCCCAGGACTCCAGGATCATGACCTGAGCCGAAGGCAGTCGCTTAACCAACTGAGCCACCCAGGCGCCCCCCTGGAAAGCATTTTTAAGGCATTATGGTCTGTCTTGGAGTTTTGCCCTGTTAAATGGTCTGAACTATATCTTGCAAGTAACAGGTTAGAATTAAGGTTGGTTGGTTGGTTTGTTTTAAGCCAGTGAAGTGTCATAACCAGACAGGTTCTTTGAAAGGAATCTCCCATTAATGGGCTAGGGCATGGATTGGATGGAGCCCAAAATCCCCTGCACATGGAGGCACATGTTCACCATATCTTACTGCATGTGTTTACAGTGCTGCTCATCCAGGAGATTAGGCAGCTGCATACTTCTTCCTGAAAAGCATGTTTCAGGATGCCTGGGTGGCTCAGTTGGTTAAGCGTCTGCCTTTGGCTCAGGTCATGATCTCGGGGTCCTGGGATGAGCTCTGCGTTGGACTCCCTACTCAATGGGAAGCCTGCTTCTCCCTCTCCCTCTGCCTGCCGCTCCCCCTGCCTTGCACTCTCGCTGTCTCTCTGACAAATAAATAAAATCTTAAAAAAAAAAAGATTAAGCATGTTTCAGCCCAGATCTTATAATACATCATTTACTACCCCTGTCATGCAAGGACACCAGATCAAGCTATGAAAAAGAGAACATTGAAAATAAGTAAAAACAAAAGTGTCTGGGGGTGGAGGGTGGGGATGGAGTAGTAAAGGAATTTTTGCTGGTTATGCTTCTGCTGTCTACAGATGCTGTTCACTTCATCTTTTCATTTTGACTTATTGAATTGGCCCAAGTACATCTAGGTAGCCAGATTTCATTTAGCAGAGATTCAGACTTTCACTCTATGAAATTACAGACTAAGGGTTTTTTTATCCTGAATTTTTATGTATGTCCCATCATCTTGTTCCACGTAGAATTTGAAGCAGGGATGCCTGCTTGAACAGCATACCTGTCCCTCTTAAGTTGGCAGGGATCCATTTCTGCAAGACTGAGAACACTTCTTGGTGGTGGGCTCTTCAAGCATCTAAGGAAGGGGCATCAAAGGCATGAAAAACCTCAGCCATTTCCACTTCTTGAATCCCAGGTTTCTGTTGTAAATTACTTCACCGTTGATCAGATCTTTGCA